AGTTGTCCAAGACTGACTAGACACACACAATTATTAACTTTTCTTTGGTGGGGTTTTAAATCAAACACTCACCGGGCTCAAATAATTCTGAAACATCAATATTGAAATTGAGACTTTTGAGCTTTGAGGTTCATTCTTTGGAAAATTCAAACATCAAAGGTACTTACTTTCTTTTCATAGAATGAGTATACAATTTCATTTATGAAAAATCAGATTCTTTATTTAGGGAAAATTCTATTACAAGGCCTAACTTTTTGTAATTGTATCAATCTAAAGTCTGAATTTTATTCTTCTCAACAGAATGCTTAGATTTTAGATTATTCTTAAATTAAAGTCTACTTTTTTAGTTAACTTCTCATTACTAGTACGTAACCCGTGCGATGCACGAGATGTAAAATTTGGAAGAATAATATAATCTCACGTGCATTAGGATCGAAATTGAAATCATCTATATATATATAAAGAGGGAGTTGATGGAATTTATTGCTAAATAAAGATGATATGCAATGACTATAATTGGCAACATTTCTACATTTGGTTGTAAAATTATAAGTTTAATTATTTTTGCATTTGTCAATAATACTTTAGATCCGTGTTTCTATTTGCACTTTCTATTAACTTAACTAAATTAGTATCCAATTAATAATTCAAATTAATATGGAATCTACATTAATATTTATGCGACTTACTATTCAGCTACCTTTGAAGTTCCTAAAAGTTATTGATTGAGAATTTTAAGTAAAAAATCTATATAAAAATAATAAAAAATTTCTGTTTCAATTTTTCTAAAAATAAAAAATCAATTTTAAGTATGAGAATCATTCTGATATTTAATAATGCATAAAAATATATATTTAATAATACATAAAAATATATATACCACCAATTAAGATAATGACACCCAATGATACCACAAATATACAACCCTATAATTTTACCATAAATCTATATCTATATCTATGTCTATACCTATATCTATATAGTGGACCAATCTTTATTGTCATAATTGACATAATTTTGGGCGAGAAATTTTTTCATCTATATTTGTCATTTAATTAATATTTATTTATTAGCAAATCATATGCATAAAAAATATAATTAATTTTTATACACTCAATGAGACAATGACTATTACTCATTAACTACAAATTGACTTAAATTGAAATTTTGACTGTAAATTTATTAGATATATTTTAAGTAAGATCTTCTATTAATTTAATAGTAATTTATTAGCATAATTCAAAAGATTATTATGAAAATTGATTTGATTAAATATATTATCATCTATGGCACTAGGTATTAATTTAATTAATTATATTCACTATTCAAAAGTACTTAAAATATTTAATAAATTAAGTAGAATAACTATGTTTAAATCATAATAACTTAATAAATAATCTAAAATATTAATAAAAGTTTCAAATATGTAGTCAATTTAACTATAAAAATGTACATCCCCATTGAATATATCACATGCAATAATAATAGTATTGAAAATTTAAATAATACTAATGAAAATAAAATTTGATGGTCAGGTGCAATTCAAAATTATAAATTCCACCTTAGAAGTACCTATGTACATTAAAAACTATCCAATTTTTAAAAATATTTATTTTTTTCTTATATACTATTTTATAAATGAAAAATAAGTTAATAAAAAAGGAATGTATAAAAATTTAGATTATAGCACTTGGTAATCATGAAAATATATAATATATCAAAATATTCGAATAGATACTATGTAACTCATTATATAGGTTGAAAAAATGAATTAAAGATATAAATATAAATAAAAATAGAAACATAAAAATAAAATATTTAACCATAAAAAAATTGTGTGTTGCATAAGGATTAAAGTCACTAAAAATTAAAGTTTGTTTATCAAAGTTTTTAACATTTAATGCACTTAATAATTCTAGCGGAAGATAAATATTATGGGTTAAACGTTGGCCAATTATCAAGCAATGTGCAAATTATGAATTGTTAAAAAAATTATAAGACTGTAATAAACGACAATTTTATAAGTACATACAAATAATTTGTATGCAAATATCATATGATCTTATACATTTATAATATTTTATACACTTATAAATAATAAAATTTATAATATTAGATAGTAAAAAACTACAAAAAAATATACAAAAATAGAAATTAACAATAATAATAAATAAATAAATGTCATATTATTACTGAATAGAATATTGTAGAGAATATAATTTCATATTATCTTAAATAATTTTATAATACTTCAATAATAAATATTTTTTGTATTGCACCCCGTGCATCGCACGGGTATCAACACTAGTTAAAATACATAGGAACATTGTTGAATCATAAAAAATTCGGTAACAATCATAAATTATTAAAAACCTCCTTGTACACAACATTATGAGTTTGATTATTTGGTAATTCCTCATTATCACAAACTAATATTTTCAACCCCTTCTATTATTTACAGGCGAAGCAGCAACATATAATTGGCCGTGACTAAAAACGGGTTCTTCAGGAAAAGACCAACGTGCGATAAAAAAAGATTTTTTAAAAATTGAAAAGTCAAGGCAATCAATTCAGATTAATTAAAGGTCAAAGAATATCCGCTCCTTGAAATAAAGACGTGTGCTATCATTAACCAAATATTCGGTTATTGATATAGAGTGGTTACCAAAAAATAGAACGCGATAAGGACGCTTCATGGAAATATCAATAGAATAAGGTCATAACAGATCGCTATACATTTTAACGATAAAAGCTCATATGGAAATGATTTAATTAGATGTGTGAAAAGGACATAATTAATGAGAAATGTGAAAAGGACAAAAACTTACCGATTTTGGAAAATGTTTAATGCAAATCCGACATTGACCATAATTTGACCTACTATTTTGGATAAATGTTAATTCTTATTATATAAGTATAGATAAGGCACAACTAACTTTATTTTTTGACATAAATATGTGAACCAACTATTATGTAACAAAAATATTATTATTATTTTTTCTTGTAATTTATATTTTACATACTTATAACAAAAAAAATAATTAATATTTTTAGTAAAATTATATAATAAGAAAATGAAACTATATAAATTACAATTATGCAAAAGTTTAATAATAATTATTTTAAAAACTATAATTTTAAAAATATGCAATCAAAATATTATTGTTGTTTTTGTTTCTAATTTAATATTTAGGTGATATTCTCGAAATAGTTGAATCTAGTGATAATCAGCTCTGCCCAAGACCCAAGTATCCATCCACATTGAAAATATGTTCACATGGCTAAGCAAGATAGAATGATGTGGAGTGCATTTTCTGTGTGACTATTACAAAAAGGGGTATTAGTCATGCCAAGTATCATGTTGTTGGAGGTAATACCAGTGTGAAGGTTTGTTCTAAGCTCTGCCTGCGGTAGTGGAAGAAATGAAAAACTTCAAGTTGAATAAAGCAGTTGCGACCACGAACTCTATATTTTGTTACTCAAAAATACCTTGTTGCCCAAGAACTCTATATCTTGTTGCTAAAGAATACTTGCTGCCCGAGAATTCTATATCTTGTTGCCTAAGAACTCTATTGTACGATTTAGAGAATCAGGCAAGAGAGGTGCGGTCCCACGCAGATGAAACGCACCATAAGAGAGTGGGCCTAGGTGCACCATAGTGAGGTTCCATCACAAAACCAATTGGTGATAGGAGGAGTATCCCACTAAGCTTATAAGTTAAATTAGGCCTATTTTGATAGGGTGACGCAGATGAAACGCACCATAAGAGGGTGGGCCTAGGTGCACCATAGTGAGGTTCCATCCCAAAACCAATTGGTGATAGGAGGAGTATCCCACTAAGCTTATAAGTTAAATTAGGCCTATTTTGATAGGGTGATAGGTACCGATCCCACGTAAAACCAGCTCTGATACCATGTAAGATTTAGAGAATTGAGCAAGAGGCAGGTCCCACGCCCCTCATAAGAGGGTGGGCCTAGGTGCAGCATAGTGAGGTTTTATCCCAAAACTAATTGGTAATAGGAAGAGTAGCCCACTAAACTTATAAATTATTTATATTTTCCCTATATAAATGATGTGGGACAACTCAAGTGATATTCTAACATCTATCTCTCTCTAGGTTGACCAAGAGTTCTCTTGGGGGAACTGAAACACATCCTTGGTGCACCAACCCAGTGCCCAATAATACTTTTGTTGCCCAAAAGTGTGGAACTGATTAAGGCGGCCTGAATCGAGCGCCTTGCGTACAGGGTCGCCTCAGGCAGTGGCGAGGCGATATGGCCGTTGCCTCGGTCGTCTCTCGCCATTTTATGCTATGGTTGCAGGATGCGAGACACTTGTAGATGAAAGATGGTTTCGTCTTTAAGAAGATTTTAAGAAATTTAACAAATATCCATGGAGGAATTTATGTTAGGACACAATGAAGCTTAGGACACAATGAAGCTGTTCAAATGCAACACATCTGGTAGATTCTCCGACTATCAAGTCAGTATCTCGAATATGAAGCGTATGGTAGATCAAGTCCGTATCTCGAGAAGTGTATGATCAAATCAATATCAAAACGTAAGGGNAAAAAAAAAAAAAAAAAGATGCTAATAGCTATACCTCACCCTTTATATATATCAAAGTGATTGTGTTGCTGCTCAAGAACTCTATATTTTGTTGCCCACAAATACTTTGTTATCCAAGAACTCTATATTTGTAGCCCGAGAATTCTATATCTTACTCTATCTTCTCTAGATGAACTAAGAGTTCTCTTGGGGAACAAAAAAAACAGATCCTTGTTGCACGAGCTCGGCCAACTAGGTTTTAGGTTATGCAGGTCATAGGTCGATAACTTACCTAACGCCCTCCGTGTACCAACTCGACCTACTCAAACAACCCGGACTAAGTCGAGCTGAGGGAGCAACCGAGCTCCATTTCAAGACAAAGCTCTCTATGCTATATCACCGAGGCTGCTGCAAAATTTCAATTGTACGAGACGAGCCTCCTCGGAAGCACATAGAGACAAACAAATGAACAATGAACTAGCAGTCAGGTACCACCAAATTAGTGTCTGAAAAGAAAGAAAAAAAAAAAAGACAATTATTTTGCCTGCCCATATATAATACGTTGCTATTAAAATGTTTATCCATCCTTCAGACCAGTACAATCTCAAATCAAACTACAAATCTCATCACTTCTCAGTTCTCTGCATCACTCCACCTTGTTTCTCTTTTTGTTTCTTTTATCATCATCTTTGAAGAAGTAAAAACTGCATCCACGCACCAATTTTTATTTTTTTTTCCCTTTTTATTTCTTTGCAAATGACAACTACAATATTATGATCAATTACTGCACTCAGTCACTTGCATATCCATCCAGACTCACAACACAGAAACCAAAAGGCTCCACCTCCACACAACCGCTCGACTTTCACCGACTACTACAGCCCATCCCCAGCACCAAAAAAGTCAAAGCGGCCACCGCCAACCCTGTGCACACGGGCACGCCCGACCCTCGGCTGGCCCCATTCCTCTTTGGCAGCTCCTTAGGCAGCGCACACTCTTCTCCATTAAAAAACACCTTAGTCGGGATTTGGTCTCGTTCATGGTTTTCGGGAGGAGGGTGCCGTTGTTGCAGCAGGAGGGGAGTCGGCCGATTTTGTCGTCGTTGGCGGATTCGGGCGGGAGGTCGGTGATGACGGGGCGTTTTTCACAGGTGACGGCGGTGGAGAAGTCGAAGTCCTTGTAGTATTGGCCCTGCGGGCCGTAGATGCACTCGGAAGGGTCGCGGTGGTGGGTTGTGGGCCCCGCACATGGTGTAGATGAACTCGTTGCGCATCCGTTCCCAGGTGAGGTTCCACTGGTCGAGACGGCCGAGGGGATGGTTGTTGTCGAGGGTGACCTGGGCTACTTGTTCTCGTGTGCTTGGAGTACGTCGTACGTGAAGTCGAGGTCGCCGTACTGGCGTGGGAGGAATTTTGTTGTCTTGGCCTTGGACTTGAATTTGGGGTCCTTTTTGCAGCACACGTACATGCACCCAGCTTCTTTGAAAAACAAAAATCAAATTCTAACTCAATTCTACTCTTATCAATATAATTAAATAATATCAATGAATCAATTTTACACATCACATCAACTTTAATTTACCATTCATTCACTAACATAATTTTAATTAATCATCACCTCACAACATATTTCTTCTATTTAAATCAACTTTAATTATTTTATTTTATAGAGTATTTTAATATAAATTCAAAATTCCGATAACTACTAACCATACCATCCGTTAATTTACCATGACTTGAGCTCTTCTGACCCGGCATTCAGCACGGTGACCATGGCCTGGAAAGACCATGCCTGAGCAGACACGTTTTTGACGAGAGGGTACTCTTTTTCCCGACCCTGGAATGAGTAGGAGATGAAGATTCCGTTGCAGTGCTCGACTTCCTTTGGTGGGGCTTCCGGAGTGTCGGTGTCCGTGGAGGAACCGTAGGATTTGTTAGGGGTGAGGGATGAGAAGAGAATGGCGAGGGCGAATGTGAGGTGGGGCCATGGGATTCTCGTGCCCGATAGCCGTTTCAACATCTCGGGATAGGGGAGAACATGAATTAAAAGAAAAGAAGGAGAATTATGTTTTTGTGTGATGAGAGATTTTGGTGGTTTGGGAGGTTAATTGCCTCCAGCAGCAATGCGCACCCCGAGAGAGAGAGATGACGGGGTTTGAGGGGGTTAATGCGGTTTTTCAAGGTTGTGAAGAGGAAAGGAAGAGGAGGAGAAAGGGAGGGAAAAGAGAGGGAAGGAAAAAAAAAAGAAACTGAGAGAATGTTTGAGGTGGGGTTGTAGGGGACGTAGAGATTTTGTTGGGGGTAAATTGGAGGGCCATTGTGTTCCTCAAGTTTTAACGGATGTTACGGGGTAAATTTGTTGAGAGGGATTTTTTATTCAGAAATGTGCTGCTGCAAGTTATAATTTTTTCTTCGACTGAATGTAATAAAAGATGGCCGCCTCTTATATTATACAGTTGAGCCATGAGCATGCTACATGAGAATCAAATTGTAAGAACTGTATTTTCTTCCTTTGATTTCGGTTTCATTTTGAACAAATTCTTTTTCTTTTTGCTGGAGACAGCCAGAGAATAAGGAAGAAAATAACAGAAATCCTCCGTGTACTAGAAAGATGGGGAAAAGGTATCACCATTCTTGAGAACAAAACAATTTATGTATCTGTAAATTCAACTATAGCTTATTGAGAAAGTTGAGCAAGCGTTCCTTCTCAAAGTTAGGTACGTTATTGAAGTGATATTTTTTTTACTCTATCAAAACATACACAATTGTGCAACTCGAAAAGTAGTCTGAGAATAGTATACTGAGAAATACAAACACTTGTGAAGAAATACCAGTTGAAGAGAAAATATTTCCCCAATCCAACTGAATCTTCATGAATCAGCGCTATCCGAAGGTCCCGTAGCAAGTGAAGTTGAATGACCATCGACTGATGGAATCACACAATCGATAATTGCGTAAACTGAAAACGAAAATGAAAAGGACAACACATAGGTGAGTAGAATCAGAAAACGCATGTAGTTGGATAAAATTTCATTTCCTCATATACCTGCATCAGACCACAAGACGATGATGGCTCGAGAAAACACTTCCATTTATACAAAATCCAGTTGCAGCAGAAAAGAAAAGGATAAAACACCATATATATATCCCAATTTCTCCCCTATCATCAGTCATTCATTGGCATCAGGATTACTACGCCTCCTCACATACCGGCTGGGCCCAGGCCCAGTGGGCCCCTCATCCTCATCTTCCCCATCATACCACAGCCTTCTCAAAGCCTGCATAGTATCTCCACCCCTTGGCCCATCCGAACCTCTCGGCAGCCCAATGAACCTCACAAGGAAAAACATAGTCAGCCAGCCACCCTCATCTATCTCGTTTTCCATGGACACACGGAGGGTGCTGAGCAAGTCCCCCATTTCCCGCTCCCTCTCCAGCCTCCGCCAGCTGTGCTGCCTCTCCACGTCCACGTCAGCAGGCCTTGCCAGCGGGTGCACCAATCTCGCGTGCCTCCTAAGCTCATTGTAGCTCCCACTGTAGTCGCAAGTCTCGGATGCGCAGCTCCTTACTTTATCGTTCATGAATTTCCGGGCAGGCTCGACCACAACCCACCCGCTGACTGGGCCACGGCAGAGAGGGCAGACGAACTGCTTCGGCTCGTCAAAGGGCTCGGGATCAGCGCCGGAAAACGACTTTCGCAACTGGTCGAAGCAGTTGGAGTGGCGGTAGCTCGTGTCGCAAATGAAGGGGCGGCAGCCATTGGAGTGGGAGGAGCATGTTAGGAGGATGGCGTTGTGGGGGTGTTCCATGCAGACGGGACACCTGGCGTCCTCCCATTGGTTGGTGTTGCTGTCGTTTTCTTCCGGAGAGTCTCCAGGAAGGGATTGTGAAAAAGGGGAGAGTGGAGATCTCTTGAGGGGCATAAAACGGTCTCTTCCATCTTTAGGCATGTTTGAGGGTGTCATCAAGAGGCTGGTTTTTCTTTTGGACAGGTAACCTAAGATATAGATCTACACTAGGAAACAAAGTGTATTCAGTCACTATACAGAGGATGAAGAACTATAAATAAATTCAGGCCTCCACCGAGAAATTAAAATTATTTAAATACTCTGTTGAGACCCTATATGCTGCACCAAGTGCATAAATTACACACGTTGGATGATTTATAGTGGCTGATTAAGAATGGGATAATTGTTCCCTCATCGAAATTATTAAGTATACGCTTAAGTGCTAGAAAAGGCTATATTGCAAGATCTGCTGCATTCTGAAAAATATATCTAATCAGCATACGTTCATGGTTATTGTATTCATTTTTAATTTTTAACACAATTGAAGAAATTAATGGTCATTTTGTCCGTTGCAAATGGAGCTGGAAGAGTTATTGTTGACAAATTCTCCTAACATAGTGCTAATAATGGACTAGATCAAAACGGCTCAATTAAATTCTAGTGCTTCTTCTATTAGTGAAGTTTCTAGAAAAAAAAATATATCAAACGGCGCAATGCACTTTGGGTCGCTACGGAAACAACCTCCTTGTATAATTACAAGGTAAGGTCAGCGTACAACTGACCCCCCAGACAGTTGGGAATATACTGGGTATGTTGTTGTTGTTGAAGAAATTAATGGTCATTGAGGGCTTTATGAACTCCCCAAAAAAGCCTCAAAACCTTACAAATTGGATTGTGCATTGTTCCTGGTTCTCCTCATTGGTGAGGAAATATATCGACATCTCATCATCCACAAGCAGTAACACAAATAAAAGAGACAGAAAAGGCTAAAATGTTGCATATAAACGCACAAACACAAATTTGGCAAAAACTTTGCCAAAACAGACAGTAAACCCAACTTGACTAGGGTGCATGACTCAATGACCCAGTGTTTAGGCTAGGAACAGACTTTCTTTCCAAAAGAGTCTAAAGATTCTATTCAGTGATTAACACACAAACTTACTACCGTAATTTTCTTTTAATCTTTAGTTAGTTCTAACATCCCCCATCATAAGTACAAAACACAGCAAGGATCCATAACATACAACCAGAAAATTCACCGTCATACTTGAAGAGATAGCCGCAAACAATACAAAATGATCCAGACAGTTGGATATGACATAATTTAGGTGTTGTTATCATTCAAACAGTTCTTTGTCAATTAGATTTACGATAGGCTTGTTCCGTACCAAATAAACATGGGAGTGATGACTGTATATTCAAAAATCAAACAATTTTTTAACCAAGTGGCTAAAGAATGGAGAATATTTATCCTATTGCAACTTTGAACAGGTTACAATGCAGGCTTCTTTGCCGATACCCAAAACCTTCAATTCCATCACAGACTTTATAACAGATAAAAGTACAAGTTACAACAATAACAAGGACCCAAAACCTAAATCACAAGTTCGGACAACAACAAAGACCCAAAATTTGAACCAACACTTTCCAAAAAATCAAAACNTAAAAAAAAAAAGAAAAAAAAAATCATCATGAGGTCACAGCAGAAATGTAAAGCTACACCAATTCCAGACCAAAAAAACCATCAAAGATTAGACCAACTTGTTCATAAAGGCCACACCGTCGAGTCATATCATAACAAATAAAATTATATGCAGAACCAATCAAGAAACAGCCTTTATCAAATTTAAACAAGTTCTCAACCAAAGTAAATAATATTTGAGTTGCCACGATCATCACAGGATATATTTTCCAAGTTAAGGCACCAAACAACAGAATCAACCTCACATCCTTGGAAAATCGAACAGACCGCCACAAATCACACCAAAATTCACATAAGGACCGCCCACCAGCAAGGTTACAATTCTAATTCCGATTACATGAAGTCCCGATAAAGAAAACAAGAGAAATGAAAATCTCACCGGTTGACTAATGAGTAAAATCACCCGAAAACGAAAAGCTCTCAATCGAACTCAGCTCAGTTCGCCGGCCGCGATTAAGGGATGTGTAGGGTTTGCCAACGGGAAACGCAAAAAAAGCAGACTTTTCAGGCGAGTATAGGCAGGTTATCTTGAATATAGAGTTCAGTCATTTTGAACATATGCAGAGACCGAGAGATGGGTTCATCGAGAACGAAAGTCGGCTAGTTGGATAGAATAAAATTATTAAATAAACAAAATGTAAGCTCATCCATTGGCCGCCGGGCCGGAATCTGAAAGGTCCCCGGGTCACCTGTTTCGGGTAACCAGGTTAATTATTGCATTGAATAATTGATTTTAAAAAATTTAAAATTATGTATATAGTATTTTTTGGGTGCTTGCGAGCAATTAGCGACAAACGTTCCGTGGGTAAAAGACATATCTTACGTCGTGCTCGAACCATGAAACAACGTTAGAAGGTGGGATTGGAAACTTATGACTCCCGAGAGAGGCCGAAGCCGCATAAGACGTTAAGTAGTCCGCAGCAAAATTTGTCTAACGAAAGATGTAAGAAATATTCACTTACCACTCTCGACTAAGGAGTTCTCTTAACCTTGCGAGTTGCGACCAAACCATATTGGACCTCTTCTATATCTTCATCTTCAGTATTATTTGCAAATCCCACGACGCTGAAATTGTCGACTTCAACCTCTATACGACGATACCCCAAGTTCCATGCTAAGTTAAGACCCTTGAATAATTCCCATAACACTGCTCTAGTTATAAAACATTTCAATGTTCATCATGAAGCCACCGAGCCATTTGCCATGGGTGTCACAAAGCAACCCTCTCGAAAAGGTCATACCTGATGATCTGTTATGGACTTGGTCTGAGTTTACCTTTATCCATGAATTCGGCGGCAGTTCCCATCGGACAAGGCGTTGGATACGAACAGTCCCTATACTACCAATCTTCTTTATCCCTTCAGCAAAGTGTAATACATTATACATTATGTTGACATTTAGGCGTCAACCTCAATTAATTGCGAATAATGGGATGGTTTAATCGTGGATTTTATTGAGATTATAACGATACAGAATAATTGTTATATATGTCTTGAAACTAATGGTAAGCATATATGAGAAAAGATATGGGACTAAAACTGAGAACTACACAAGAGAAGAAAGATTAACGATCCATGTCGCGGATCTGCAATGTCGTATATATTTTGCGGAATCGTTGGTGTGTGTTTTCATGGGCCTCAAAGACCGAATTTATACACATAAAAAGTAAAAAGTCGTGACTTAGGGGAAATTAAGGGCATAGGGGAGTGACATGGGTCCTCATGCAAAGTCTCAACTTTTGACGATGAGACCACTTGTGCGGTCACTTTATCAGTTTGTTGTTTCACATTCATATGCAGAGGGATCGTCATTCTTCGAGGGGAAGGAATAAAAACAGATCGGCATCCTGGCATAGATGGAGATCAAGGAGAGATCGACATCCTGACGTGAATGTGGATCGGTATGGCCTTGGTAACAAGGGTTCTTGGGCTGTTCTTTTTTCATAGTTTAGGCCCAATCTTCAGCAGACCTGATTTCCATTCGACTTAATGGGCCGACCTAGAGTAAATGTAATTTCTTACGTATAATAAGGAGGCCCTGAAAATTTTAAAGGTATCAGAGATCAACAGATAAAAAATTGTTTGTTTGCTTTGCATCCACAAGTCGATCTCTTCATGTGATCGCCAAATCATTTGAAAGGACGACATCAGTTATACTGGCGGGAGACGGGTCGTGATAAGACGTCTTTTGGCGTCAGTTGCACTGGACTGTACGTATTTTTTTATTTATTTTTAATTTTTAAAAAGCAGTTTTAAAATATTTAATATATTTTAATATAAATAGAAATATAAATTATAATATTTTGGATTTATATATATTATTATATATAAATAAGTTTAGGCGTTTGAATATTTAATATAAATAATAATATTATGTGTTAATTTATTATTTAAATATTCTATATATTTAAAAAATATTATATAATTAATTATCAGTGCAACCACTTAATTCCACCGGGTATGAAAAACTCGCTTCAAATATAGGGATATCCGTCTTCCCCCAAATTTCTCTCTGCATTATTTTATTTTTCATTTAATCCTCTGATCTATACATCGAGTTATTACTGGAGAATACTCCCATCGTTTGTGGGCTCGCCTCAATCCTGATTTATTAAGTCATACTTTTTACTATTCTGGTTTTATTTTGCTCGTATGTTTCCAATGGTTGTGCAAAACCCTAACCCTTTCCCTAAAAGTAGAGCTTTTGTTTAATTATTCATGATGAAGTGAGAAGGGATTGATATTCACCTGGTAGTGAATTCGTATACATATCCTGAGTTCTATTCTACTATTGCATGATGTGTTTTTTTAGGGCTTGCAGATGTTGACCTCTGCTTTAACTAGTAATTTTGTTGCTTATCTTGATCTAGGATTGTAGTAAGGAACTATGTTACATGGACTCGGGTACATGTGTCGGATACGGGTACATATCCAAGTATCCGGTATTTATATTTCTAACAGTTAAGATTCAGGAACACGTACCCAAAACTTAGACACGGGTACGAGGGTACGGTATTCAATGTAATAAAATTAAATAAATTATTAATTTTATAATATTAATAGGAAAGTCAATTAAAAGTTCTTTATTAATTAATTAATTTTACAATATTAATTAAATTAAATAATCAGCCGCATTTAAAAGTACACTATTAATAGTCAATGTATTGTACACATATTAACCGGCCAGCCACATCCAATTAAAATCCACCTTATATAAAAAGCCCATTTATTGATGTACATAAAAAGCCCATATACTATACACATAATTAACCAGCTGGCAGCTCAATTGACCTAGATTTCACGCAGCAGCCTCTCACGCGTTCCATCGTCTTCTCCGACCTTCCAAGTTTCCAACTTCAGAATTTAGATCCATTCTTGCCTATCCAACTTCAAATCCGTTCTTTCCCTTCCAACTTCAGACGCCAGTCAGCCTTCTCCGTCACATTTTCCACAGCCGAGCTTCAACCTTCAACCCGCCCTGACAGCCACCCGTGGTCAACGTATCCGGCCTCTTTTGACCGGATCGGAGCCGGATTTCGTACGGGTATCCGTGTCTTGTCGTGTCGACACGGGTACGCCGGCGGTAGGTGGCGAGTCCGGGTAACATAGGTAAGGAATTCAACATATATCTGCTGGTAATTATTATTTGTTGTCCTGTGATGCATTTTTGGTTTAGTTCAATTGGGTTGAGATGATCTGATGCGTTCCCTTAAATTGGAGCTGCAAGTGGTTCATGAGAGAAAAAACCGCATTGCATAAATATCAGATTCTTGAATTAAGGATATACGATAAACTTTGTTGAGTTACGTTTAAATATCTCAATTGAATAACTATTGCCCACGCCATTGAGATTTGGTCGATCCGCTAGAATCCACGGTTTCAAGATTAACCGAGTTATTTCCCTAAAAATGAAGCGTGCGTGTATAGAGAATGAATATCGCAATTTTGGCAATCCACAAATGATTTGTATCTATGATCTATCTATCAACTGATGTGTTTTGTCCTTCTGTTGTCCCAACAGACAGTAGATCATTGTTCAAATGGCGGACTTAGAGAAACTCCTGCTGGAAGCCGCCGGAAGGACCAACTCTCCCAGCCGTAACCGCCACTCATCCCCACCATCCCACAGACGCCGGAAAAACTCTTACTCCGACGATGGCAGTGACTCCAAAAACGACAACTCAGACGGCGACCAACCCTATTCAACCCGTAAGCCATCCGCCTCCCAATTTCCCCTCAAGAAGCGTCTTGACCCCACAGACAAAGATGACGTCAGCAGCCAGGAACTCAACGATGACGACGACGATTACGAGAGAAATCAAGACAGCGACAACGACTCGGTCGGTAGCGACCTCTACAAAAACGAAGACGATCGCGAGAAACTCTCTCGTCTCACCGAGCTCGAGCGCGAGATGATCCTCCAATCCCGAGCCGAAAAAAGAAGCGACCGAGAAATGACCGAAAAGCTAAAGAAGATGAAAGGGCCCGACCGCAAGGCCCGCAGCCCGCCAAGAACCGCGGCCCACACCCGAACCATGCGGTCCAGGGCCGGACGAGCCGGCGCTCTCGACGAGCTCGTCAAACGTCGGCGTGAGTCGGCAAAGGGCCGCCACTCGCCTTCGAGAAGTCGGTCTTCGTTCGCGGCCTCTGCACTTAGCAGCCCCAGCCGCAGCGAGAGCGGGTCCCGCAGCGACGGGGCCGACTCGGAGGACGCCGCCGACAGCGATGACGAGAAGATCTCGTCGAGAGTCCCGACTTTCGAAGACGTGAAGGAGATAACGGTCCGCAGGTCCAAGCTGGCGAAATGGTTCATGGAGCCCTTCTTCGACGAGCTGATTGTGGGATGTTTCGTGAGGGTCGGGATCGGGAAGTCGAGGACGGGCCCTATTTACCGGCTCTGCGTTGTGCGCAACGTCGACGCGTCGGACCCCGAGCGCCAGTACAAGCTTGACAACAAGACGACGCACAAGTACCTGAACGTGGTCTGGGGCAACGAGAGCTCGGCCGCCAGGTGGCAGATGGCGATGATCTCGGACTCCCCGCCTTTGAGGGAGGAGTTCGAGCAGTGGGTCCGCGAGGTCGAGCGCAACGGGGGCCACATGCCGACGAGGCAGGAGGTGGTCGAGAAGAGGGACGCGATACAGAAGACGAGCACGTTCGTGTACTCGGCCGCCACCGTGAAGCAGATGCTGCAGGAGAAGAAGTCTGCCACGTGGCGCCCGCTGAACGTCGCCGCCGAGAAGGACCGGTTGCGGCGCGCGCTGGAGGTGGCGAGGGAGAACGAGAACGAGGCCGAGGTGCGGAGGATCGAGGTGAGGCTGCGGGAGCTCGAGATGCACCGGCGGACGCAGGAGAAGGACTCCAAGGCGGTGAAGCTGGCGGAGATGAACCGGAAGAATCGGGTGGAGAATTTCAGGAACGCGTCCGGGCTGAAGCCCGTTAATACGGGCCTGAAGGCGGGCGAGGCCGGGTACGACCCGTTTTCGAGGAGGTGGACTCGGTCGAGGAACTATTATGTGGCCAATGGCGGCGGTGGAGGAGGGGTGGCGGCGGCGGCCGGTGGTGGTGGCGGTGGCAGTGGTGGTGGGGTTAGGGTTCCGGCGGAGGTGGGGATGGCGGCAACTGAGGCGGCACTGGAGGCGGCTGCAGGAGCGGGGAAGCTGGTGGACACGAATGCGCCGGTGGATTACGGGACGGAGTCGAACCTGCTGCACAATTTCGAGCTGCCGATCTCGCTGGCGGTGCTGCAGAAGTTTGGGGGGCCGCAGGGGGCTCAGGCGGGGTACATGGCGAGGAAGCAGAAGATTGAGGCTGTGTATGGGGTGAAGGTGCCGGAGAATGATGGGAGGAGGCATGCGTTGACTTTGACAGTCAGTGATTATAAGAGGAGGAGGGGACTTCTTTGAGCCCCTGCCCTGTTTGTGTTTGCT